AACCCTAACCCCTTGTTGCACCCAGAACCGACCCCACCCCCCCTAAACCCTAAACCCTAAACCCTAAACCCTAAACCCTAAACCCTAAACCCTAAACCCTAAACCCTAAACCCCAAGTCCCCCTGAACCAGGCCTTGATGCTGAAGCTGGCGTCTTTGGATGTAGCCTGGCACGAGTGGAGGGGTGGGGGGGAAGTTAGGGTTTAGGGTTTAGGGTTTAGGGTTTAGGGTTTAGGGTTTAGGGTTTAGGGTTTAGGTTTAGGGTTTAGGGTTTAGGGTTTGGGGTTTGGGGTTTGGGGTTTGGGGTTTGGGGTTTGGGTTTAGTGGTTTAGGGGGGTTTAGGATTTAAGGATTTAGGGATTTAGGATCGCTTCGGGTTCTTGGTTGCGTTGCTTTGGGTTCAGGGGATTCGGGATCGGAAGATTTGGGGCAGTTGATTGCAGGGGGGTCGCGGAGGACATGGGATGGGTGATGAGGGCTCTCCGTCCGAGGACATGAAACCTAGAGGGGTTTAGGGTTTGGGTTTAGGGTTTAGGGTTTAGGGTTTAGGGTTTAGGGTTTAGGGTTTAGGGAGAATTCTGCTCTCCAACCACCTAGCTCCTGCCACACTGCACTTAGGCAGGCGATAAGTCCATGCGACAAAACCCACAGGGGTCTCAAAACTCTGCTAGGTGCGTTGTCTCCCATTCCTGTCCTTCACTTGGCTGCACTCAGAAGGGTAGCCATATATTAAGTTTTTAGCTGCCTTATTAAGAAACCCAATAAACCCAAAAAGGCTAAGGATCTAAAGTTAAAGTAAAGCACCACAAAGTTCATGGCCCCACCACTTTTTTTTCAGGGAGCCGGCTCTGTGAACTCACTCCTCAAGCTACCAGCATCCCCGCTTCAAGCGCTGGTCTTGATTCGGTAGAGGGGTTCAGGGCCATGCGTTCAGGCGCCTGACGCCACTGTAGACAAAAAAGCCTACTGCGGTTAAGGATTTAGGGTTAAGGATTTAGGGTTTAGGGTTTAGGGTTTAGGGTTCGGGGTTTAGGGTTTAGGGTTTGGGGTTTGGGGTTTATCTAGGGCTGGGCTCAAAAATCACAGAGCCGCTAAATGGAGGTGTGTTGGCTTTAAACTTGGGCGAGACGACCATGAGAATCTCTGAGACTCTGCGGGCATGATAACCCTAACCCCTAAACCCTTTAGGGTTTAGGGTTTGGGGCTTAGGGTTTAGGGTTTAGGGCTTAGGGCTTAGGGTTTAGGGTTCAGGGTTAAAACCCTGTAGAGGGAGGCACAAGGACTTGAAGATCGCCTTCTAAGAGCTCTTTGGGTCCTTGGGCTTCTTCTTCCTTAAGGGTTCTTAGGGAGGATCCTCGTGGGGCTTTCCATCTCTCTTTTTAACTAAGGTATAGGGATTCATGAGTTTAGGGTTTAGGGTTTAGGGTTTAGGGTTTAGGGTTTAGGGTTTAGGGTTTAGGGTCTAGGGAACGCATGATGTTTATAAGCCCTGAAACCCTTAGTCCATCAGGCCAGCGCCGGCGCTATTTCAGGGTCTTCACTGGGATGAAGAGCAGGTCCCAGATGTAAGTGAGCAGCCTGGCTGTGGCTGGTTTGTATTAAGGTCCCTGAACCGTAGGATTTAGGGTTTAGGGTTTAGGGTTTTAGGGTCTAGGGTTTAGGGTGTAGGGTTTAGGGTTTAGTATTTAGGGTTTAGGGTTTAGGGTCTGAACCCTTGAAACACATGGGTTTCTACAGATCACGCTCCTGAGTGGCACTCAACCCTCGCAGGGTTTAGGGCCTAAGTTTAGGGGTCCCCACATTCTCAAGGCGTTTGTCAGGGTTCCCCCTTAACCCTAAACCCAGAACCCTTAACCCTAAACCCTGAGCCCAATTGAGAGCCATGAGCCATAGCTACAATCCCAACTTCCGATTTGCAGCTGCCCCCACAGTTTCCACTGGGACCCCCTTTAAAGGGTCTTCAGGGTTTAGGGCTTAGGGTTTCTCCCTTTTGTGGAGGTGACTTTTGAGAAAATCCTTGTGCGTCTCCGCGGCTTCTAGCTATGCCGGCTAGGATCCATGTGGGGCTTAGGGTTTAGGGCTTAGGGTTTAGGGCTTAGGGCTTAGGGTTTAGGGTTTAGGGCATGTCGGGCTTACTGGCTTTTGCGCGGAGGCTCGTGAACCTCCGAGTGCAAGTTCTGGGATTCTTGAGCTACACCGAAAAACCCTAAAACCTAAACTGAATCAAAAACTCAGAAACCCTAAAGCCCTGCAACCCTAAAGCCCTAAAGCCCTAAAACCCGCCACGCTACAACCCTAAAACTAAAAAATCCCAAACCCTCGAAGCCGGGGGGCTGCAGGGTCGCCAGGGCGTACAAGAAGGCCACTGCGAGACCTCCCCACCATTTCGCGCGTCAACCGAGCTGTTTCCTGAACTTCGAAATATTCCCTTTCAACCCCCTCAAGGGGGTCTTTAGGGTTTAGGGTTTAGGGTTTAGGGTTTAGGGTTTAGGGACTCAGGACTTAAGTTGTTCAATGGATCCTGGCAAAAAGTCTGTAGGGCACCTTCCTTCTAAGGGCCTTGCAGCCACAGAGCGCTTTAGAGTCTGGGTCTGTGCCACTTATCTGGGCCCTGAATGTGGGACAATTGTGGACCTACTGCAAACGCAAAGTTTACATATGTATGTAAACCTCTCTCTGTTATAACTAAATATATATATATATATATGTACATATAGATATCTATCTATCTATCTACGCATGCCTTGAAGGGTTCCTCTTTGCTTGTCAAAAGAACAGGCCGAGAGGGGCCTTTAGGGTTTAGGGCTTAGCCTTAGCCCAAAACAACCTCCGAACTTACTGGCTGAGTTTTCCAAAGGGGAACCCTATAAACCCTAAACAGTTAAAACCCTAAACCCTAAACCCTAAACCCTAACCCTAAACCCTAAACCCTAAACCCTAAACCCTAAACCCTAAACCCTAAACCCTAAACCCTAAACCCTAAACCCTAACCCAAAGCTCCATGCCCTGAGACATGCTCCACCGAGTCCGACATGTGGTGGACAGGGAACCTTCAAAAACTGTTGGGGGGGGTGCACGTGGGGGACAAGGAATCGCATACAGTTGAGGGCTTAGGGTTTAGGATTTATGGGGTTTAGGGTTAAGGGTAAACCCTAAACCCCATGAATCCTAAACCCCCCTCACCCCGCAGACAGGCAAAAGGCCTCCAACATCTTCCGTCTGCCCACTGCGGACGTCCTCGAGGTCATTGTGCACCCTGAGAACGGCCAGAGCTGGTATGGCAAATGTGGGAGTGTATCACTAAACCCTAAACCCTAAACCCTAAACCCTAAACCCCAAACCCTAAACCCTGCTGTGAGCTTACAGTGTCGTGCTTAGGGACGGCTTCTTCCCATCAGGATATCCAAGACCCTAAGTCCTACAACCAAGGTTTAGGGTCTAGGGCTTCGGGTTTCTAGTGTTTCGGTTTCTAGGGTTTAGGGTTTAGGGTTTGGGGTTTAGGGTTTAGGGCTTCGGGTTTCTAGGCTTTTGAGTCTAGGGCCCTGTTCAGTCGAAGCACTGCCGCAGGAAGAAGAGCAGCACCAGGAAGGTCAATGGGATGGCACAGCCATTCACGGTATACCAGACACGCTTGAACCTGGCAAGGGTTTAGGGTTTAGGGCTTAGGGTTTAGGGTTTAGGGTTTAGGATTTAGGGTTTAGTTTAGGGTTTAGGGTTTGGGGTTTGGGGTTTAGGGTTTAGGGACTGAGGGTTTGAGAACTTGAAGGCTTGAGGGAAGGAGGAAGGCTGGATGTGATCTCATATAGGGCTTCAGAGAGGTTTGCAAGGGCTCCCGGGCCTGTAACAGCAGATCATCTGGGGGGGCAATAAGGTTCCCTTATGCGGGAACCTTGCAGAATATTTTACCAATCTTTATGAGCCCAAGTCAACAACCCCACGGTTTTGTAGTTTATTGTTGCCCTAAACCCTAAAAACTAAACCCTAAACCCTAAACCCTAAACCCTAAACCCTAAACCCTAAACCCTAGGCCCTAAACCCGGAGGAAGTTCCTCACCCTAACCACCCCAATCCCCACCCCTAAACCAGGTTCAGGGTTTCGGGCTTAGCTCTTTCGGGCTTCAGGCAATAGGGTTTCGAAGTATCTCAACGCGACGGACACAAAACCCGGCCGAAAGCACCTGTGGTTTCGGGAACAAGCCTACCTGGACGTCGGCAGCACTCAATTTTCTGGGATACTTTCATATATAAAAAGCCACATGTTGCAGGGACTACCTATACAGGGCTTATGCGACTGACTCTCTGAGGGTTCTAAGTAGTGGTACTTTTGGGGCAACTGCCTCTTCAACCACACCCCGAATGCCCGACTTATGCGGAGCTCCTGAGGCTGTTCTCGTCCACGATGCGGGGGTCTAGCAATGCACGCGCCGGCCACATCTCCGCGACGAACTTGGCGTACCTTCCAAAGGCTTCTGGGGCCTTACAGGGGTTCGGTACCCTAAACCCTAAACCCTAAACTCTGAAATATGACGCGCTGACTGCAGGTACCCCAGCAGCACATCTACCGCTTGGCTGCATTAGTTTGCATTGTAGTGTTGTGGGTGTGGGTGGACTGCTGAAGCTATAAATGCTTTCGCTTTTGGTCCAAACAAGGCCTTGAGCTGAAACCCGCTGACAAGAAAGAGCAAAAGAAAATTCCCTCTCGACTGTGCACTGTGGATCAGAGTAATCCACTCAAATAGGTTCACAAGTTTCACATGGTAGCGGAGCGCTGAGTCGCTCCAGAAGCTGCCCTGTACATAGCGCTAGGACACGTAGGTGAGTAGGATGACGAGTAGAGTTAGGACGCCTTCACCAAGTGCTGCTGACGCGAGGCGTCAAAGGTATGGCCCAGCGTACGAGGCCACTCAAAGAGCCAAGGGTGATGGTAGGACTCCGTCTCATGCTTACGATGTAGAGCGTGGAAGTGTACAGAATAGCCCACAGAGGCCACAACGCTTCAGGATGGATGCGGATGATGGCAATGGCTTTGGGTCGGGACAGACGGTTCCGCAGCCACCGGTGGGTATGCAGCCAGGAGCCGGAATGTTTCTCCAAGCGCAGCAAGCCGCGATGATGCAGCAGGGACTGTACAGGACGCCTGGACTGGCGCAGTTTGCTTTGGGTCAGAGCTCAATGGGCGGAGTGCCGGAAGGCGCCAATGTAAATATGGCTACGGCGGGGCTCAGAGGAGCCATGTGTGGACCGTGCGGGCCGGCAGGTGCCCACTCGGCTGGTTACCCTCCTAACGGACTTGGAGGTTGTTGCGCTCCTAACGTACCTGGAGGCTTCGTTTGTTTTGGTGGCCAAGTAGGGCCAAGTCCTCCTAACGTACCTGGAGGCTGTGTTTTCCATGGTGGCCAGAATGGGCCAAGTCCTCCTAACGTACCTGGAGGCTGTTTTTTCCCCGGTGGCCAGAATGGGCCAAGTTCTCCTAACGTACCTGGAGGTTGTGTTTTCCAAAGTGGACTGAGCGCTCCTAACGTAACTGGATGCTCTGTGTTTGAAACGGGCCAAGAGGGCCAGGCAGGACCTGCTGGAGGTGGGTCTGCACCTGTAGGGCCAAGAGGGCCAAATGGGCAGGATGCTGATGTTGATAGTCTGGAGAATGTGTCTACCCTGCAGGGGCCGCCCGAAGACCATGAGGCTGTAGGCCAGCAGCGCCTGGCAGCCCAACTTGGTGCTCACGAGGAGCCTTCTCACACGCAGTGTGGTGCAACTGGCCAAGCAGATATGGCTACTATGATGGCACTGCTTCACTCGCAGGGCGAAGCCCTGAGAAGTTGCATGGCTGAGGTTGCTAATCTTGGCAGGCGGGTGGAGCAGCTGGCCCTTGGACGAGGGCAGCCTACGCAAGAAGAATGTGCTGGTGGTAGTGTTGGCAGAATGACCAATGCAAGCAGTGGCTTCGGTGCCAGAGTGGCGCCACCTCAAGGACAGCAGTTTTGTGGAGCTTCTGCTCGGGCAAAGCCCGAGAAAGAGGAGCAGGACATCTTTACGAAGTCTGAAAAGTGGCTTCCTGCACTTCCCAGCCCGCAGTTTGATGGCTGGAAGAACCGTGAGCAGGAGATTTTGGGCTTTAACGAGTACCTGACTACCTTGAAGGGTTGGGTTGCTCTTGGTAGTGATACTTTTCCTATCGAGATTGAGCAAGCCATTAAGTGGCCTCATGAGATTTTTCAAGCTACTCGCAAGCTCAGAGGAGCAACAGGCTCCTTGCTATCTTGCGCCAAGCTTTTGCCAGCCACGCGAGAGCAGACATGATTTTGCGTTCCTATGTAGAGGGGGCTACGTATGGAGAAAATCTCCATCGAAGCTCTGGGGACACATGTGGTTTTGAAGCCTTACGCCTTTTAGGCCACGAGTTTTCCTTACGCTCTCGGGCTGAAGCCAGCTACTTTCGTGCCGAATTCATCAAGCGCAGTTTTCGTGGAGAGTCTGCTGCTACTCATGTCTCAGACATAGTACGCAAAGTGGACGTCGAGCTGTCTCGCTACAAAAGACTTGTTGAGACTTTGCCTAGCGCCGTTTCTCGCGATGGTCTCGAAGTAGGTTCGTCAGATCTCACCCTTATGCTTTTGCGGAGTATTTCAAAAGATGCCCGCTCTTACTGCCTTCTCCATGCCACAGGAGAGTCGTACGTGGAGTTGCGAAAGGCAGCTCTGCGTTACGAGTCCCAACAGCGGATGTTTTCGGAGATGGGTCTCGGTGACAGGCAGGAGCGTCTTGTGAATGAGCTAGATGACCCCACTGGCGAGTGGTGGGAAGATGACGAATGGTACGAGGACGAGACTGTTAGTGCTTTGTCTGGCAAATGCCGGCGTTGTGGCAAAGCAGGCCATTTTGAGAAAGACTGTAAAACAGATCTTTCGAAAACTGAGTGTTTCAAGTGTGGTGAAACAGGCCACATAGGAGCAAGATGCCCCAAAGCCAAGGCCAAAGCGAGGTCTCACTCTGACACAAGTAGCCAAAGCAGTAAAACTGCAGAGTCTCGAACGACTGGCAAGCCTGTTTCTGCTAAGGGAAAGGGCCGTGGAAAGAGCACTCAGGCCAAAGGCCGTGGTCGCTCAGGCAAAGGCGGCAAGAAAGGCAAGATGCGCGAGCTCACTGAAGATGCCGAAGGCGAAGAAGCAGCTCAGGATGATGGGACCTATGAGGCTGGTGAGTATGAAGCCGAAGAAGAAGGTACTGCGAGCAGTTTGCTCATGATGCCTCTCCTTCTCAACGACGATGTTGAAGAGAAGAGTGAGTTTGGTTTGTGTCCTTTGCGTTCTCTTTGTGATGCGTTGATGCTGTTTCAAGTGGACACAGATGACAGTTGGTCATGGTGGCTGCTGGATTCAGGCGCCTCTGTGACAGTAATGGCCACGCAGTTTTTGAGCAAGTACTCTTTCTCCCACCTTACGGATGCTAGTCCGGGAGGTTTCTCCGCCGCGAACGGTTCTGCTGTACAGATGTCCAAACGCGGTCGCGCTAGAGTCGCTTTTGAAACCAAGGACTCTGTGATGCCGTTTGACCTGAATTGCTATGTCGGCAAAACGCGGCACAACATTATCAGTGTACCTCAGTTGATGGACAAAGGTTGGGAAATCCACTTTGTCAGTGATGGGTGTCACCTGAAGCATGCGTCAGGCGTGATTATCTGTGACATAACTTGGTACTGTGGGTGTCCATGGTTGCGGGCAGTTGAGGTTGCCGAAGGCGATCTTGATGTGCCTAAAGGGTCAAAGGACCCAGGTTTTCACCAGTGCTAATGGCTTCAGGGACAGCTGAGGAGCCCAGTGCCTCAGCTGTGCCTGCCAGGCAAAGTGGAGAACAACTCTCTAAAGAGAGTGTTTTTGAGCAAGAGCCGGCTGCAGTTGGGGAGACAAGCGCTGCTTCAAGCCAGACTGTTGCTGAGCCCGCAAAGCGACGGGAGGAGCAGCTCTCTAAAAGGGATGCTGCTGAGTATGAAAAGCACAGAATGAGGGGACATGTTCCTTATGACCCCCACTGTGTCCAGTGTCAGCAAAGTCGTGGTGTGTATAGGCACCCGCGCCAGCGCCGCAAGTCTCCTGAGCCAAGGCTGTATGCTGACTTCTTTGATATCGCGCATGAAAATTCGCGTCAAGAGCACAGGTTTTTGGCAATTATAGAAGTGGCGTCGGGCATGATAGGTGTAATACCTTGCTCGTCTGATAGGCGAGTGACAAATTCAGTTTTGGCACATTGGCTTGCTGAGTTTGCCATGCCTTCTTCTAAAATAGTCGAGTTGTTTTACTGACGCCGAAAAGGCGGTTGCACAGCTGTTTAAAACAGGCCTGGAATCAGGTGTGAGAATTTTAGTGCGCAAAGCATCACCGCAAGGACACGAAAGTGTGGGAGCAGCTGAACGCACGGTTAGGCGCTTCAAAGAAGGAGCCGCTACTATCCGTGTGGACTTGCGTGAGGAAGGTGTAGATATATGCAACACTCACGACAGTTGGTTTCAACTTTTTAAGTATGTTGCGTTTGCTCATAACTGTTTTGCATGTCCTGGGGAGGGGGCAAGGACGGCGCGCGAAGCGCTTGCCAACCGTCAACTCCCAACAGCAAAGTTTGCTTTGTACGGCTCGGTAGTCCTTGCTGAAGTACCGGAATCGGTGCAAGCGCCCTCTCGCTTTGTTAAGGCATGCTATTTGAGCCCACAATGGAGCTCAATGGGGCACACTGTAATTACGACCTTGGAAGGTATCAAGAAAGTTTTTACCGCCAAGAGTTTAAAATTTCTCACTCCAATTAGCTTTGATGTTTCCTTAGCTCAGGGATTCTTGACCAAAACTGGTCTTGCACTGAACCCTAAGCTTGACAAAGGGCCGCAAAAGGCTTACGAGGGACCAATACAACCGGGCGAAATTGTCGTAAAGGGACAGCCGCCAGCGTCCTTCCTCAAGGAGCACGGGCGTACGCCAGGATGTAATGCCTGTTCGTACCCAACTTTTCACGGACGAGTTCACAACAAAGCTTGTAAAGAGCGGTATCGCCTCTTTCTGCAAAAGCAGCAGGACTTGTTAAAGGAAGGTAAGGAGCAGCCTGCTAAGCAAGCTGAGCCTTCACCTGCTATTGTTCCTAGTGTGCCAGAACCTGAGTCGCAAGACCACCAACCAGATTGGTTGAGTAAGTTCGATATAGAGGTTGCTGAAGAGCCGGGTAAAACTGCGGTGCCAAGCCCTGAAATGTTTGATCCCGCTCCTCGTCGTTTTAAAATAAGGACAAAGACTTCCCCTGAAGAAGTGCATGCCAAAGGTCAAAAGAGGCCAGCTCAGGAAGAATTGAAGGAAGACTTCGACAATTCCGATTATGTGCCCTCGGACGTAGAGAGTCCAGCGTTGCCGCTTCCTATCCCAATACCTGAAGCTGTAGATAGCTCAGTGTCGGGGCCGGGTACTTCTAATGAAGAGCCGCAGAGTGTCCCAATGGAGGTTGACAGTTTAGTCGATGCCGCAACCATGATCAATGGATCGTTTGGGTTGACGGGTCCTGAACTTGTTAGCCCTGATGTGTTTCACCTTTCTGGAGTTGTGTTCGACGACTCTGCCAAAGCCAAGAGTCAAACTGTGGAGTTTTGTGGTTCTAAGCTTAAAGTTTGGCAGCCTTCCTCGGCTGTGTCTGATGTCAGTATGGCAGAACTTAATGGTGATGCCACTTTTAAAGGAATGTTGAAAGAGCTTGGTGGACTAAGTTCCTGTAAAGCTGGTAACGTCATGAACAAAGCGCAGGCCGAAGCTTATTGCCACAAACATGGCATTCAAGTGTTGGCTTCCCGCTGGGTTACTAATGAGAAGACCGACACGGACGGCGCTGAAATAGTGCGGTCCCGGTTAGTTGTAAAAGACTTTCGTGGCTCAAAGAGCGCGCGTTCCTTGGAGATTTCCAGTCCTACTCCTTCGGTAGAAGCTTTAAGGACCGTTCTCGCGTATGCAGGACGCCATGATTGGGAGCTAGCATCCCTTGATGTTTCCCAAGCCTTTATGCATACACCGCTCAAACACCGCAAAGCATGTATCAAAATGCCTTTGTCGGTAAGTTTTCCAAATGGAGAACCGGTGTACATGGCTTTATCCCAAGCCCTAAATGGGTTGCGTCTTTCCAGTCGCACGTGGTTGGAGTACATTACAAGCGACACTCTTGGACCGCTTGGGCTCCATGCCTGTGAGCGTGAGCCGTGTTTGTTCAGTGGCCTTGTTGATGGAGTGGAATGTTTAGTGCTCCTGTACGTTGACGATGTGCTGATAGCATGTCCTAGCCAAAAGGTCATTAACAAGATCTTTGCTGCTCTGCAGAGTAGAGTACCGACGAAGCTGACTGGTAGGATTCTCTCCTCCAAAGGGGGTGGTGGACACCTGCGTTTCCTGGGACGAAACATTGAGAGGAGGCCGGGCGAAGCTGCGCTTACTCTCGTTGTCGATGCCAACTACCTAGACTCCTGCTACGACGACTATAAGTTGTCTGGTCGCGGAGGTGGTTCATCTGCTTTCCTGACATCAGAGCAGCCATGTGTTGTCGGCAGTTTAGGCGTGTTCTGGGAAAACTTGCGTGGTTCGCGCAAACGCGTGAAGACTTGCATATCGCGATTTCCCTTGTTTCTGTGGGCCAAAGTGCTCCTACGGCTGCGCACGAGGAAGCCCTACGTGCTCTCCTCAGGTTTTTACGCAAAGATGGTGATGTGCGAGTGCACTTTCCTTCTCCTGAGCAATGACTCATACCAGGAAGTTTCTGTGTTTTCCGATGCTCCTTATGCGCCTATGCGTGCAAGCGCTGTTGAGTCCAGACATAGGCTGAAGTGTTTCAAACATGCATGTTTTGACCTTCCCTGCGGCTGGGTGCTTGAAAGGGGGGTTTAGGACCGTTTAGGATAGGGTCTCACGTCTGATTTTTGTTTATATGCATGTATACAGATGATGCGGGATTTTTAATTTGCACGTGTGTGTTTGTGTGCGTGAAGTTTTATTAGCAGGATTTAAGAATTTTTGTTCGTATAGTTTTTCGGCCCAAAAATGGAGGGGCGCGCAGCAGAGTTGCAGGAAATGCAACACTCAGCTTACCAGCGGCGACGCGGAGTAGTAAGTAGGCAAGATGAGCCCACTTTGAATAGACCACCTGGTATTTTCATTCGGGGCTCGGATCCACCGGCAGAGCCGGAAGGTCCCCCAACCAAGAAGTCAAAGGCTTCAGACTCACCTCCCCCGAGAGTTTCTGCAGCCCCGCATAGCTCACGTGCTTTTCCAAGTAAGCCTACTCAGGCTCCGGAGTTTAGAGCGTTTCCTGAAGAGCATCCACCGAAGGTGGAGTCATCTGTACAGGCTGAAGCTTTGCCAAAGGGAACAGCTGGGCCCAAGCGGACGCCGATGCTCACTTTGCAGGATGTACAGGCCAAGTACTCGGAGCAGCAAATCTGCCGCATCATTCGCTGGTATGAGGGAGTGAAGACAACCATTCCTGATTTCGAGCGATATGGTTAGTTGTTTGTATGTAGTTTGTCTACGAGGTTGCAAGCACGAAGTCAGAGAGATTTTGAAGATCTCTTTGATTGTTTTCCTAACGTGCTTTGGTAGTTATTTTCCACTGTATATAGCTCAAATGTGTAGTTCGTCTAGGAGGTTGCCAGCGCGAAGTCAGAGAGATTTCGGAGATCTCTTTGATTGTTTTCCTAACTTGCTTTGGTAGTCGTTTTCCACTGCATATATCTTAAAGCACATATTTTCTGTACAGGTCTTTTGCGGTACCAAAGGTGCCAATGTACAGCGCATGGGTTACTCGGATCCGCTACGTCAATTTGGGCGTGGTCTTTCGTATCACAGTCAGAACAGGGACTGTGACAAAGCTGCTCCGGGCAGCAAGCAGGGGTGGAAGCTCTTGTAAGACCTAGCCCTCACCTTTCCTTCCTTGGCCTCATCGCCGCCGCCATGGCTCTGAGATTGGTCTATTTGAGACTATGTGTTTGGGGCCTCATCAAGAAGAGTTCAACACAGGTGGCAAAGTTTGGAAATGGACACTGACAGTACTGCAAGCAATGGTGGATGAACATCTGAACTCTGTATCTGGTGTGGTATGAACAGTAAAGGCTTTCGAAAGGAGCAGCGTGGTGCCACACCTTTGCTGTCTGGGTTGGTGAGAGGTATCGTTCTGATTATTGGGAACAAGCAGGCCAGAGAAGCCGGGGAATCGGAAGCACCTTGCTTCGTCTTCATGTATCCCTCAAATCAGAGACGGACCTCGTATTGGCGCACCTTGCAGATCACCGACGAAAGGGGGTCTGAAATATGACGCGCTGACTGCAGGTACCCCAGCAGCACATCTACCGCTTGGCTGCATTAGTTTGCATTGTAGTGTTGTGGGTGTGGGTGGACTGCTGAAGCTATACATGCTTTCGCTTTTGGTCCAAACAAGGCCTTGAGCTGAAACCCGCTGACAAGAAAGAGCAAAAGAAAATTCCCTCTCGACTGTGCACTGTGGATCAGAGTAATCCACTCAAATAGGTTCACAAGTTTCACATAAACCCTAAACCCTAAACCCTAAACCCTAAACCCTAAACCCTAAACCCTAAACCCTAAACCCTAAACCCTAAACCCTAAACCCTAAACCCTAAACCCTAAACCCTAAACCCTAAACCCTAAACCCTACACAGCCTGCACCCATAAGGCCCTTGACGCCCCCAGGAACCCTAGAGGCTAATGTGCCCTACTACACCTTCAACCCCAACCTCTGAACCCCCAAACCTAAAAACCCTAAAACTACACCAGAAGCTCCATAAAGGCCGCAACCCTGCACTCATAGGGTAGCTACATGGTCCCTGATTATGGGCCCTTAAGTGGGAACCCTTACATACCCATTACATACCCCTTCTATACTCAATAAAGCCCTGAAGGGCCCACACGTCAGAACCCTTTAAAGCAGCTAACTGAGCATCCTAAAGTACCATGGTAGCTGCCCTTAGATTCACCCTCAATCCAAAACCCTAAACCCTAAACCCTAAACCCTAAGCCCTAAGCCCTAAACCCTAAACCCTAAACCCTAAACCCTAAACCCTATAGACCCTAGGACTGGCGAGTTGCTTCTCAACGCGGGCGCCCTCCAGCAGGCGCTGGGCCATGGAGAGACTGCCAGCCTCCAGGGGTCGGGTTCGGGTTTAGGGTTTAGGGTTTAGGGTTTAGGGTTTAGGGTTTAGGGTTTAGGGTTTAGGGTTTAGGGTTTAGGGTTTAGGGTTTAGGGTTTAGGGTTTAGGGTTTAGGGTTTAGGGTTTAGGGTTTAGGGTTTAGGGTTTAGGGTTAGGGTTTGGGGTTTAGGGTTTAGGGTTTAGGGTTTAGGGTTTAGGATTTAGGGTTTAGGGTTTACGGTTTAGGGTTTAGGGTTTAGGGTTTAGGGTTTAGGCTTAGGGTTGAAGGTTTAGGGTATGGGGGGGCGAGGGGTGGGCGGGAGCGGGGGTATAGCACCCTTATTGGAGGTTACGGGGTTAGGGTTGAGGGCTTCCTGAGCGAAATTACTGAGTTACGACTCTTCTGAGTATGTTGATGTTGTAGGTGTAAACCCTCATAAACCCTATAAACCCTATGGTAGCCCTACTCCTAAACCCTAAACCCTAAACTCGAAACACTAAAGCGTAAACCCTAGCAGCTTTCAACTTGACAACCCATGGCACCTCATCAGAATGCAGAGGCACCTGGCACCGTGCGGGTCGCTAAAGGTTTAGGGCTTAGGGTTTAGGGTTTAGGGCTTAGGGTTTAGGGTTTAGGGTTTCGGGCTTCGGGCTTAGGATTTAGGGTTTAGGGTTTACGGTTTAGGGCTCAGGGTTCAGGATACCTGGCCCCGCAGTTCACCCAGAACAATGACTGCTCTACATTCATTCAGACTGGCGAAGGCTAACGCAATCCCAAAGAGGATGCCGCCTCAACCCCCCCCCCCCGCCTCGACCCCCCAACAGACCAATAAACCCTAAACCCTCGCCCCTAAACAAAAACTCCCTGAACCCCAAACCCTAAACCCTAAACCCTAAACCCTAAACCCTAAACCCTAAACCCTAACCCCTAAACCCCAGATGGAAATGGGGCCAAACGAAACGTGTGGCGCCTTCATCGGTCCTGATACCCCGCACATGGACCCTTCATGGTGCTTCTTCTTGGCCCTAAGCCCTACACGCTGGGCCAAGAAAGCAAAGACTCAACCCTAAACTCAAAAAAGCTGAGATTCTGCTCGTCCACATGAAGGTCCCGTTTCGGGTGGGGAGGGTGGGTGGGTGGGTGGGTGGGTGGGTGGGGAGGGGGGGGAGGGGGGGGGAGGGGGTACGCTTTAGGGTCAAGGGTTATATAACATGGCGCTTTCTTAGGGTACTCAAACAAGGCGAACTGACGCTACGAGTGCGCCCTGAACGCTCTGAAACCTAAACCCTAAACCCTAAAGTTAACCCTAACCCTAAACCCTAAACCCTAAACCCTAAGCCCACAAGGTGGTCGCAGCCTGCGTCGAAGCTGCCAAGAGGCAGGCGTAGCTCTCCTGTGATTCGGGGTTTAGGAGTTTGGGGTTTAGGGGTTTGGGGTTTAGGGGTTTAGGGTTAGGGTTTAGGGTTTAGGGTTTCGGGTTTAGGGTTTAGGGTTTAGGAGTTTGGGGTTTATGGGATTTCCAGGTGCTTAGGGTTCAGGGTTTAGGAATTTGGGGCTTAGGGTTCAAGAGTTTGGGGTTAGGAGTTTCATGTGCTCAGGGTTTAGTGTTTAGGAATTTGGGTTTGGGATTACGAGTTGCTCAGGGTGCAGGGTTTAGGGCTCAGGATTTCAAGAATGTGAAGGGGCGAGGGTTTCGGACGTCAAGGTTTAGGATTTCAAGGTTTTAGGGCGTCACGGTTCGGGATTTCGAGATTTTAGGTCTAGAGTTTGGGACGGTAGAACTTTTGAGTGTCGGGGGTTTAAGGCAAGTAGGGTCGGGGTCAGAGTCACTGACAATCTGGCCCTATTGGGGCACCATGCTGCTAAAGAAATCTCACCAAGACCCGAAACCCTGGGTTTCGGGTTTAGGGTTTCGAGCTCCAGGCCCACACTCAAGAACTCAAATACTTGGTTGCTGAGTTCATAAGCCCCAAAAAAGTGTACATTTGCAGTTCTGTATGGGGATTATAGTATCCCAAAAAGTGTAAAGTGGATTCATTCAGCAACGAAGAATATCAGGTGGCACCATGGAAGTTGTGAGAAAATCACCCAAGGGGCTCTTTAACAGATTCAATGGGTTTGGAGCTTGAGTACTTGGATGGGTCTGGGACGCGCGAACAACTCTTGCTGTTGCATTCAACACATTCGGACTAAGCTGCAATGATTCATTGGACAAAGTCGAGGTGTTGATGTTGAGGCCTGCGTTGCTTGGGGTCTGCCCTAACCTGCGAGGCTATTTCACCCTCCCCCCTCCAAACAAAGAGGCTAGAGGCCCTAAACCCTACACCCTAAACCCTAAACCCTAAACCCTAAACCCTAAACCCTAAACCCTAAACCCTAAACCCCTAAACCCCTAAACCCCTAAACCCTAAACCACGGCACTGAGGGAGCGTGATACCAAATGTCGGCCCACTGAGTCTCCTACTGTGGAAGCTGTAGAGATACAAGCCCTAAACGCGTCAGCCCTTGAATCCCTTAGCCCTTGAACCCTTGAACCCTGAAACAAACCCTAAACCCTAAACCCTAAACCCTAAACCCTAGATTCTCAACCCTTAAGCCCCGAAGCTTTAAATCCTGAAATCCTAGCCCGGAAGGATCCATGTGCCTGTATCGTATACACTTGAGGCCTGAAAGGGGTTCCTGGAGCGTAGCTATAGGGCCCAAGTTTATACCATATAAGTCCAACCCAAACACCCCAAACCCCAAACCCCAAACCCCAAACCCTAAACCCGAAACCCCAAACCCTAAACCCTCAGCACATGGAGCCTTACGGTAAATCCCGAAAGGTTGGGGGCACTCCTCAGAAGTGCAGGTCTCGGCACCCTCCGGGATGTGGCGCCTCGGACGTGGACTTCTGGGGGTTTAGGGTTTAGGGTTTAGGGTTTAGGGTTTAGGGTTTAGGGTTTAGGGTTTAGGGTTTAGGGTGCGCCTGGGGCCAAGGATTTCGGGCTTCGCGGGCTTGAGGGCTTGAGGTCTTCGGGGCTTCTTTTGGGGCTTATGTGTTTAAGGCCGTGATTTCAGTGCTTTCTTTTGAAGCGGAGGTTCCAAGTCTGGCTTTGCTGTTTGTCTGGCCTATTCTCAAGGGGCTCGGTGGTGTGAAAGATCCGCCAACCCTTGCAGGCTTTGCTGTTTGTCTGGCCTATTCTCTGTTAAGGGGTTCGGTGGTGTGAAAGATCAACCCTTGCAAAGTCGCTTCCGTGCTCCTTCTTCCAGCTCTTTCCATTCCAGTCCCCTTGTTCAAAGCGCACTATGGGGGTCCACTAGAATGCGTACTATCTTGGGTAGCTTGCTATAGAGTGATTGTCGGGATATATGAGGGGAGCATG